GGTTATACACCAAAATCACCCTAAAATCTTTATGGTCTCAAACAATTCTATTACGAAAATATTGTTTCAGTCATTTCTAATTAAAGTGATTAATGAGTTTTTACGATGATGAAGAGTCTGTAATAAAAAAATTTACTTCTTCTGATTTTTAAAAATATTCTGTGATATTATAAAGAAGATGGTGTGGAAAGTGCAGGCGGGAAGAATGGTGACGAATTTTTTTAATTTATACTAGTATATATAAGAGATGAGTTAACTCGTTAGGCGTGACAAAAGATAGCTGAGTTAACTCGTGTTAGGCGTGACAAAAGCAGTGACGAGTAATGGCAAAGGCAAAATCATTTTCTTCTTCCTTGTCTTTCACTACTTCTCTCCTCCACTATAAGAAGACAAAACATCGTTAGTATTGTCGAAAAAGAATACATCGTTCAACAACAAGACTTCTTTTTTTTTTTTWWTTTGTGTTTTATTGTAAGCAGAGAGAAAATGGCTAGGTCTGGGGTTGACGAGACATCAGAATCTGGAGCTTTCGTAAGAACAGCATCAACATTTCGTAACTTTGTTTCACAAGATCCTGATTCTCTGTTTCCAGCTGAATCAGGAAGATACCATCTTTACATATCTTATGCTTGTCCATGGGCTTGTAGATGTCTCTCTTACTTAAACATCAAAGGTCTTGAAGAAGCAATCAGCTTCTCGGTTAGTACAAAATCATGCATTCTCCAATCCTTGAATTAGACATTTTTTGAATGACTAAAGTCGAAGCATTGCTCTGTTTATTTGATTTCGATTAGTCGGTTCACACGATTTGGGGACGAACCAAAGAAACTGATGACCATAGAGGATGGATTTTCCCGGATTCAGATACTGAACTTCCTGGAGCTGAGCCTGATTATCTTAATGGTGCAAAGAGTGTTAGAGAACTCTACGAGACTGCTAGTCCGAACTATGCGGGGAAGTACACTGTTCCTGTAAGTTCTTATCTCTTCTGGTGACCTCTCTTGTCTTGAAATCTTGTCTTGTTTATTGACTCTTGGATTTGTTTTTTTTTTTTGCTTTTGTCAGATTCTATGGGATAAGAAGCTTAAGACTGTGGTTAACAATGAGAGCTCAGAGATAATCCGGATGCTCAACACCGAGTTCAATGGTTTTGCGAAAAACCAGTCTCTTGACCTTTATCCTTCCCATCTCCGAGATACGATCGATGAGACTAATGAATGGGTTTTCAATGGGATAAACAATGGTGTTTATAAATGTGGATTTGCTAGAAAACAAGAACCATACAATGAGGTAAACGATCCTCAATGTTTATATATTAGTTTCAACGAGAACGAAAAACGGAAACTGATCCTTTTTCTATATAGGCAGTGAACCAATTGTATGAAGCAGTAGATAGATGCGAGGAAATACTCGGAAAACAGCGCTACATTTGCGGAAACACTTTCACCGAAGCAGATATTCGATTATTCGTTACTCTCATAAGATTTGATGAGGTATTTGAATCAGACTTTTCTTAATTATTGACACATGATATGACCATCAGATTCTTGAATTCATCATTTTTGTTGCGTTTACAGGTTTACGCGGTTCACTTCAAATGTAACAAGAAACTCTTAAGAGAGTATCCGAATATCTTCAACTACATAAAAGACATCTACCAAATACAGAGCATGAGTAGCACTGTGAACATGGAGCACATTAAGCAACATTACTACGGAAGCCATCCTACGTTAAATCCGTTCGGGATCATTCCTCACGGGCCGAACATCGACTACTCTTCGCCTCACGACCGCGACAGATTCAACTCATGAAAAACCAAACATCAAAGATCAATGTTTTATCACTTGTCCTTAAAACAACAGCCTTGAAAACATGTCTTTGTATTTCAGTTTAAAATAAGTGAATACT